GTGAGTGAGGGGCCGCATGGGAGGAGAGGTGAGGACAGAGAGGTGGGGGGCAGATCTTGCAGGGCCTCAGAGGCTGTTGTGGTTATGAGGGCATCTCTGACTCCCCTTACTCTGGCCTCTTCTCCGCCACAGAGCTCCCCGATCCAGGAATCCTCCATCACTCCCAAGCTGCCTTCGGAGACCCAGGAGACCCCAGGCCCCGCCCTGTGCAGGTGACACCACTCCCCGGCCCCCTGCCCACCACCCACCCCTGCCTGCTGTCCTTGTCCTCACCAGTGGCCTCTCTCCACAGCCCTCTGAGGAAGTCGCCTCTGACCCTTGAGGATTTCAAGTTCCTGGCGGTGCTGGGCCGGGGTCACTTTGGGAAGGTGAGGTGGAGGGCAGGGGATTGGGAGACCCCCCCCCAGGTCCCTGGCTGGCCACTAAAGCCACCCCTGCCCACTGTGGTTCCAGGTGCTGCTCTCCGAATTCCGGCCCAGTGGGGAGCTGTTCGCCATCAAGGCTCTGAAGAAAGGGGACATTGTGGCCCGAGACGAGGTGGAGAGGTGGGGACCTGCCGTGGTCCTCTGGGGACCTCTGTCTTCTCTTTTGGGAAATGACAGAGCAGTTCTCTCCTTGGAGCTGCAGGGAGAGTGACTCATAGTGGTCACTAATGCCAGGCACCGTGGCTCTCGCCTGTAACCCCAGCACTCTGGGAGGCCGAGGCAGGTGGATCACTTGGGCTCAGAATTTCAAGACCAGGCTGGGCAACATGGCGACACCCCCATCTTTACAAAACATACAAAATAATTAGCTGAGTGTGGTGGTACGTGCTTGTAGCCCCAGCTACTCATGAGGCTGAGATAGGAGGATCACCTGAGCCCAGTAGGTCAAGGTTGCAGTGAGCTGAGATCACACCGCTGCACTCCAGCCTGGGCAACACAGTGAGACCCTGTCTCAGAACAAATAAGTCACTAATACCTACTAGCCTAATACCAAGATAATAATAGCTCTTATAAAAGTTATTCGTTTGTTCCTCCATGTTGCCCTATAAGGTAAATACTGATGGCACAGAGAGGTTGAGCAATTTACCCAAGGTCACACAGCCAGTAAGCAGCAGGTCCAGGATTCAAAGCTAGAGACTCAGGTTCTGAAGCCTGTGCCCTTCGTGGTGCAAACATACTGCCTCTGCTTTGGGGACAGGATCCTGGGTTCAAATCTCACATCTGCAGCATGGGCTTGGAGATCCTGGGGAGGTCACTTCTCCCTTCAGAACCTCAGCCTCTTTGCCAGGCACTGTGGCTTACGCCTGTAATCCCAGCACTTTGGGAGGCCGAGGTGCATGGATCACCCGAGGTCAGGACATCGAGACCAGTATGGCCAACATGGTGAAACCCCGTCTGTACTAAAAATACAAAAATCAGCCGGGTGTGGTAGTGGGCCTCTGTAGTCCCACCTATTTGGGAGGCTGAGGCAGGAGAATCACTTGAACCCAGGAGGCAGAGGTTGCAGTGAGCCAAGATCGCGCCACTGCACTCCAGCTTGACTCTGTCTCAAAAAAAAAAAAAAAAAAAAGAACCCCTCTTGATGTGGAGAAGCGGAGTGCTGCTGCCTTCCACACACACGGTTGTCAGGTGCTGTCTACACAGTGCCTAACCCCTCTAAACATTCGGTACAGGCACTGAGATTGTCCTTGGTCTTCCCAGCATTCTTTTGATAATCAGGAACCCAACTCAGAAACAAGTAAAGAAATGTATTGGTCTGCATCAGAAAAGTCCAGGAGTGGGCTGCCTTCAGGCATGGCTGTATCCAGGTGCTGAGATGACATTTCTCAGTTCTGCTTCCCTCTGTATGGGCTTTGCTTGCCGTCTGGGAGTCGGGGGTAAGCGGCGGCCATGGTCTCTGACTTCTGTCCCCCACCCCTCCCCAGCCTGATGTGTGAGAAGCGGATCTTGGCGGCAGTGACCAATGCGGGACATCCCTTCCTGGTGAACCTCTTTGGCTGTTTCCAGACACCGGAGCACGTGTGCTTCGTGATGGAGTACTCGGCCGGTGGGGACCTGATGCTTCACATCCACAGCGACGTGTTCTCTGAGCCTCGTGCCGTGTGAGCCTGGCCCCCCGGCCCGGGCCCCGCCTCCCTCCACAGCGTCTGACATTTCAGTCCCCTCGAGAGGCCGGCAGCCTGCTTCTCACCCCTCCACCCTCAGGCCTTGCTTCCCCCAGCCTCCCAGAGCTTTGGGGAGACTGGGGGGGCTTTTGAGGTTGTGGGAACCAGGCTTATGTGACCCTCCCTGCTTGCAGGGTGGCCCCACCCCTCAGCAGCCTCTCTCTCTGCAGCTTTTATTCCGCCTGCGTGGTGCTGGGCCTACAGTTTCTTCATGAACACAAGATTGTCTACAGGTGTGTGTGTGTGCGCGCATGCATGTGCACACTGCCCGTTGTGGGGACAGGGCCCAGACCCCCGCTCATCCCTCTTTCCATCCCCCAACCCCCAACAGGGACCTGAAGTTGGACAATTTGCTTCTGGACACCGAGGGCTACGTCAAGATCACAGACTTTGGCCTCTGCAAGGAGGGTGAGGGACTGGCCTCGGGATTAGACAAAGGAGCGGGAAGGAATGGGGTCCCTAACCCTACTTGGGGTACCCCCCACCCTGACCCTGGGACAGGGCTGGCTGTGTGGACAACCCCACATTGGGCTGAATGACTCCTCTGGCCCCCATAACCTCACATGGCCTTGCTGTCCCCAGGGATGGGCTATGGGGACCGGACCAGCACATTTTGTGGGACCCCGGAGTTCCTGGCCCCTGAGGTGCTGACGGACACTTCATACACGCGGGCTGTGGACTGGTGGGGGCTGGGTGTGCTGCTCTACGAGATGCTGGTTGGCGAGGTGAGACCCCACCCCTGTGTGTCTCGGATCTCACTGGAAACTGCGTGTGCCCTAGGGTGGGATCCAAGTCTGCCTCCACCAAGTGCTGTGTGATTGAGGGCTGCTCTGGCTCCCTGGCCTCAGTTTCCACCTCTATAAAATGGGACATTTCCCTGCCCGAGTTAGCCAGCACCCAAGAGCTGCAGCAGGCCGGGCTGGGTTTGGAGCAGCCAGAGGAGAGGCCGCATTCACCCCGGGCCTCCCTCTCCCCAGTCCCCATTCCCAGGGGATGACGAGGAGGAGGTCTTCGATAGCATCGTCAACGATGAGGTCCGCTACCCCCGCTTCCTGTCCGCCGAAGCCATCGGCATCATGAGAAGGGTGAGGACCCCCGACGTGGGGCAGGCCTGGGGAGGGGCACTGGGGCCCAGAAGGGGACAGATCCTGACACAGTGCTCCTTCCTCCAAGCTGCTGCGGAGGAACCCAGAGCGGAGGCTGGGATCTAGCGAGAGGGACGCAGAAGATGTGAAGAAACAGCCTTTCTTCAGGGTGAGGTTCCCCACAAGGACCTCAGTGACCCCGGCCCTCCCCCTGGTGCCGATTCATCACCCCACACCCGACGCCCCCCAGGCCTAGCCGCTTTGCCTCAAAGGCCTCATTGCACCTCCAGGGCAACATCGTCACCTCCTTTGACACCCCGATTTCCCTCCTCCACTTTTGTTCCCCCCAGGGACCCTCCTAATCCCACATCTCCACTTTCCTCCGCCTCTTTTTTTTTTTTTTTTTTTTTTTGAGCCAGGGTCTCACTCTGTTGCCCAGGCTGGAATGCAGTGGCTCAATCTCGGCCCACTGCAACCTCCGCCTCCCAGATTCATGCGATTCTCCTACCTCAGCCTTCTGAGTAGCTGGGATTACAGGCACACACCACTCCACCACAGCTGGCTAATTTTTGTATTTTTAGTAGAGACGGGATTTTGCCACTTTGGCCAGGCTGGTCTTGAACTCCTGGCCTCAAGTGATCCTCCCACCTCAGCCTCCCAAAGTTCTGGGATTACAGATGTGAGCTACCACGCCTGGCCTCCACTGTTTCCTAATCCCGCTTCTCCACCAGGCTATCGCAGGTGATCCCTCCTGAGCCCCAGTCCCCCCACCCCACTTTTCCCTATATGATGACTCCTCTCCGGGGTCCCCAAGCCCTAGGACTGGTCCCCACTGCAGCACGCCCCCTCCTCAGCCTCCCAGGCTGACCCTCCCCTCCGCTTCCCTCCCCTGCAGACTCTGGGCTGGGAAGCCCTGTTGGCCCGGCGCCTACCGCCGCCTTTTGTGCCCACGCTGTCTGGCCGCACCGACGTCAGCAACTTTGACGAGGAGTTCACCGGGGAGGCCCCCACACTGAGCCCGCCCCGTGACGCGCGGCCCCTCACAGCCGCGGAGCAGGCGGCCTTCCTGGACTTCGACTTCGTGGCGGGGGGCTGCTAGCCCCCTACCCTGCCCCTACCCCTGCCCGAGAGCTGTTAGTTTTTAAAAAGGCCTTTGGGATTTGCCTGATCCATGCATCTTGCGTGTCTTCTTGTGTGCAGTCATTGGCGGTGGGGGTGTGCTTGGAGGTGTGGACGTTTGGGGGGCAGGTGGCTGGTTGGTCGTGGGAGTCTCCAGTGATGGGGGTGTCATTTGAAGAGGATCAAGGGGCGGCGTGGACTCGGAGCTGTTCTTATGGGGGGGAGCGTGGGTAAGCTGAGATGGGAGGCGGTCGGTATTGTGTTGGGGGCGCCCAGGGACATGGGGCAAAATGGTTTGGGGACAGGGTTTTGGGGCTGTATTGGAAGAACTCAAAGCCACAGTGAGCAGAATGGTTTCGGAAGTCCGTTAGGGCGGTGGCAAGGTCAGGAAACGCCCCCCACACCCTCTCGCTCTGCTCCCAGCACAGCCCCAGCCCCCGCCGCCCGCACGGTGCGCTTGCTCCTGCGGCTCCGGCGCCCACGGTCAGGCACCCTCGAGCCTCCTAGAACCGCGCCCCGGTGTCTCCGCGCCATCTTGTGGTAGGCCCCGGAACTGCACCCACCCTGGAAGCGCACTTGGCGCCTCTGCTGCCCCTTGCGCGGCCCCAGTGGATGCCGAAGCCCCGACGGGACTCACCGCTCTGTCTGGGCTCGTAGAATGGCTTTTTATTCCTCAAAGGCTCTTCGCCGCGCACCTGGGCCCGGCCCCAGGGTGGGTTGGCTTCGTCGTTGGGCCTCCGGTTGTGCTTAGAAGTAGCTGAGGCCGCTGTGCCGGGAGCTGCGCAGCGAGCTGGCCTCCCAGGCGCTCGGGGTTAGGCCCAGCCCCGCGGGGCCGCCCTTGGCCCCGGCCCTCGGGGGCAGGAAGCGAAGCAGTTGGCGCAGCACGGCCTGGCGCAGCAGGATGTACACCCAAGGGTCCAGGATCTGGTTCCAGGAGGCAAGGCGCACGGCCAGGAACAGTGGCCGCTGCAGGGAGGTAGAACTCCAGCCCCCGACGGCCAGCGCCACCAACACCTGCGGGGGAAGCCGGTGTGAGCCGTTTGGCGGGCGCAGGCGCAGGGGGGGCGCAGGGATGGTGGGGGCGTGGCTGGAAGGTAAAAGCCTGGGAGGAGGGGCGAGCCGTCGCAGGCAGGGTAAATGGGGATCCAGGTGGGAAGGGGATGCGGAAAAAAAGGAGGGAGGCAAAGAAACAAACACCTTCAGTGGGTGGGGGCTCCGGCCGGAGAGGAGTCTCAGGTGTCCCGGAAAGAGGAAAAACGAGGGGGTTGGGTGAAAGGACTAGGGAATGAAGCGCGGGGGCTTATAATGGTTGGGCAGGAGAGGAGGCTTGTGTGGGTCGGGGTGCGCTACAAAGACCCCAAAAAGGAAGAAGAGAGGGGGGCTAGGAGGAAGGATGGCAGGTCAGATGGAGAAGGCCATGCTGGCTTTTGGGGCAGGTGGGATGGGGCCTCCAGGGGCCGGGGCCTTGGTTGGGTCCAGGACGGAGGCCCAAGGTGTCCTGGGACGACGAAGGGCGGAGGGTGTTGAGAGGGAGCGGGAAGGAGCGTGGCTCGAGGGGCCGGTGCGCCCCTCACCAGCATTGGGCTCCAGCAGATGCACGACACCACCATGATACCGACAAGCTGGCCCACCATCTCCACGTCGTGGCTGCGAGCTCTGCGTGCCGAGCCGCGGCTCTGGGAGCCGCCAAAGGCTGTGGAGGCTGAAGCGATGGATGAGGCGGACGAGGCGGAGGCCGAGCGGGGTCCGCGCGCCCCCCAGCGACGCCGGCTGTCGGGGCCCGAGGCCGGGGGAGGCCCTCGGGAGCGGCGTCGCCAGCGGGCGCGTAGCAGGGCCAGGCCGCTGAGGGTGTTGCACACCAGCGCGGCGAGGAGAGCGACCAGGCCGAGGCCGGCGAAGAGGCCGGCGAGCAGTGCCTGGCGCCAGCCGCCCGAGGGACCCAGGCCGATGAAGCACCACGTGCCGGGGTACTGCAGCTCGTAGCGGCCCACGCGCGCCAGCGGTAGCAGCGCGACGGCTAAGGCCACTGCAGCTACCGCGGCCAGCGCCAGGCGCGCGCGGGAGACCGAGACCCGCGCGGCGTGGAGCAGCGGCCGCGTGACGCCCACGCAGCGCTCCACCGCCATGCCGCAGCCCAGCAGCAGCGGGCACAGGCCGAAGAAGACCATGCAGCCGCCCAGGAAGTGGCAGGCCCCGCCGGCCGGAGCGCGCCCCGCAGTGTACAGGCGCAGCACTAGCGCGCCCGGGATCACGTGGCCTGCCAGGTCGGTGGCCAGCAGGCTGGCCACGAACAGCAGGAAGGTGGCGGCCGAGCGGCGGCGTCGCAGGCGGCCCGCGGCCTGCGCCAGCAGCGCCAGCGCCAGCAGGTTGGACACGGCGCCCAGCGTCATGGAGAAGATGGGCAGCGCGGGCGAAGCGCCCGACGGCGGCACAACCGACGCGTTGGGGACCCAGGGCGCCGCGCATGTGGTCGCCTCGCCCGCCAGGCTCAGGTTGAGGGGCCCGCAAGGGCTCATGTCAGGCGCCGGGAGTGCTGGGTAGAGGAGAAGAGGGCAGAGTGAGGCTGGCTGGGCCCGGGCGGGGACCAGCCCACGGTGCCATCTCAGAACATCAGGCCCGTTTGACTCCCTGGCGTTCTCAGGCAGCCCCTCTGCCCATGGCAACTCCAAATGACCTGGCCACTCCATTTGCCTCCCTCTCTTTTGCCTCTCACCGCCCCATCTCCTGCTCCAGGGCCTCCCTCTGTCCCCACTGGCTCCTTCTCTGTCCTTCATGGTTTCCTGCAAGATTCCCCTGAGCCCTGCCCTCAGGCATCTCTGCCAGTGCCTCTGGGCCTCACAGATCCCCCTTTGACCCCCACCTTCCATTTTTACACCGTAGCAAATTCCTGGGGCCTGTGGCTCCATCTGATAGCTGTCACCCATTTCTGCCCCTGTGGTCCTACCTGACTTTCCCCATGTCAGCTTTACTGCAGTCCCATCCTCGAGATACCCCAGCCCCATCTCTACCACCATGGGCACATCTCTACCCACGGTCATGTCCCTGTCCCCCATGGACCCATCTCCGACCCCACATGGCACAGCTACATCTATGGCATGGACGCATCTCTACCCCTGCCCCATGGACCTGCCTCTGATCCACTGTGGTCTCTCGCCAGGCCCCACTGCGATCACCTCTGCCTCACCCTGGCTGCCCACGGTTCCACTCCATGTCCCTGCCCCCAGAGGCCATGACCATCCACTCTTTGATATCCTGGTGGTGAGGGTGGAAAGGGCGGAACCGTCCACCAGGCCAGATGGGAAGGGAGGATGGACAGACGATAAGACAGGGACACACAGATCGGGGGGAAGAGCCCAGGGACACAGGATGGACAGACAGGTGGCCATGGCCCCACCCCTTCATGCCCTCCTCCTCCCCAGCCAGGGACCCTCACGTGCAACCCGCTTACCCAGCACTGCCTGGGATGCGGGGTCCCCATCACCGGCCGCTCAGCCCTGCTGCCCACTGCGCCCTGGCTCTCCGGCAGGCCGCTTCCTCCCTCCCTCTTCCTGGGGCGGCTCCTCGGCTCCTCCCGCCGCCCTTGCTGGCCTCCAGGGGCCGCTCCACCCCGCGCACGCCCGCTTGGGGCCTGGAGTGGCAGGGACCCCCCTCTCTGCTCCTGGCAATGGATGGGGGCCACTCTGGGCCCCAGCGGCTCCCTCCATGAGGAGGGAGGCTCTCTGGAGTCGTTCTGGCCCCCTGTGACCCCCTCCTCCCAGCAGGGCGGGAGTAGCCCCCTTCCCCCGAGGCTCGGGCCTCTTGCCTCATTAATAAAGTGGATAAAATCTAAACACTGGAAAATGTGAGTGTCGTCTGGGGCAGGCTGGGGCAGCTGCAGGGGGTGCCACTGCCCCCCTCCCTAGAGCTTTGGGACTAGGGGGGCTAACTCCAATTCTTTGGGGGCAGCAATGCCCCCCTGCCCTGCTAAAGCCTTCATGGACATTGGGGTAGGTGCTGGTGGGCAGGGCCTTGGGCAGACTGGCTTGGGTCAGGCCCAGCCTGGCCAGGGGATCCGCCTACTATTTATATAGGGGCTTAAGCCCCGGCTAGGGCCACAGCGAGTCATATCCTGGGAGGCGAGAGGAGGCGGCTGAAAGGGGGCAGGGGAACCAGGAGGCCTGGCGACCTGGGGACTCTCCCCAGTGTCTGGCTCCTGCTTTAAGATGGGCTGAGTGACACCTGGGACACACGTCCTAAGCCACAAAGACTCGCCCTTCTGCCCTGAGTAGGGCCACGCTGGCGGCCTCACACCCTAAGACAATCCCGTCACTTACCACTCAGTGTCATCCTGTCCCCATCTCAGCACAGCCAGCTTGCTGCCACCACATCCCTGAACTCAGGGTCTTACCCCCAGCGCCGGGACACACCCAGAGTCACTACCTCAATTCCAGCCCCTCCCCTCAACACCCCAAAATGCAGCCCTCTGAGATGACCACCCACATCACCCTCCTTAGTGCTGGGAAACAGGGTCTCACTTGGCATCGAGAGACAGATACACGTGCGCGCGCACACACACACATTGCCAAAACTGCCCCTGGTCACACTCTGTATGACTTGTAATGACCCCCCAACAATCCCAGATAGGCCCCGCCGGCACACTCCGTACACCTAAGGCACCAGAAGTGACACCCCCTGCCCCTGGACACCAGAGACCTAGCTGGCCACCCCCACCCTCACCCCAAAACAGCAACGCCCTGAGACATACACACCTGCATCCCTAGACACCTCGAGACCTAGCCAGCACCCCCACCCAGGAAACAGCAATACCCTGAGACATACCCTAATACCCCTGAACACCCCGAGACCTAGCCAGGCACCCCTCCTTGCCCCAGAAACAACAGCACCCTAAGACACACACACCCACATCCCAGGACACCTTGACACAGTCACTCCATTGCACTCTCCACCACCAGACACTGCCAGTTACACCTGCGGTTGCCCTGGAACACAGAGCCAGCGATCACATCCCTCACCCACAACACAGCCCTCCCTCACCGCGTCACGAGCCATCAACACTCTGATAAGATGCACAGTCCTACCCAACCCCCGAGATGCACACAACCACACCTTCACCACCACAGCCGGCTCCCAGCACAGACACCCAAGGAGCCCACAGGTGCTCAGGTCTGCCCCGAGTCACCAGGACAGTGGCTCCCCTACTCCACCCGGGTCTGCACACCAACACCCAGCCCCGAGGGTCTTCCCTTTTTCCCCCCTTCCCCTCTTCCTGGTGGCCCAGTGCCAGCCTGCCTATTGGAACGAGGATTGCAAGCTGGCCTCAGACTTCCCCACAGCCTCTCGGCTCACCCCCAAACATTCCTGTGGGGCCCTGTGGCCCAGCACCCCTTGCTTCAATCCCTTCCCTTGTCTCCAGGTCTGGCCAGGGTCCCACCCCGCCTTTCCCTGATCACCCTCAATCCTTGAAGATGAGTGGGTTGTCAAAACAAGTATGCCGGGTTTAGTAAGCAGGGTGCCCCATGGACGCCTGCATGTCCAGCATTGGGCCGCGTGGGGTGGGGGCTGCATCGTGTCTGCCCCCAACTTCCCGGTGTAGGGGTGGGGCTCTGGCAGGCCTGAGGTTCCATCTATTTCCAAGCCAAGTTTCAATGCCCTGGTACTCCCCCCAGTCCAGGGGTTGTCACCGGCTGCAGACGGCAGCCTTGTGAAGCTCCAGGGGGCGGGAGGCCTTGTGGGAGAGGGGGCAGGATTTGAACCCTCAGTAGTCCAGGAAGCTCTGGCTCTGCCTGGAAGCCTGGTGGCCTGCAGCCAGAAGGAACAGTGGGAGGGGGCAGGCGGCCTGGTGCCAGCTCCTAATTCAATTTGGAGCCTGCGGAAGATGGATTTCAGCTGCTGAATTCTTTCTCAGCCCCGACCCTCCCCCTCTCCCACCCCGAAGCCACGCAGGTCCAACAGCAGATAGATTCTTTATGTTCAAGACAGCAAATTCAGATACAAAAGCCCACCGCCATCATCCCTCCCTCCCTCCTGCTCTGGGCCAGGGATAGGCCTGGAGGGGGGAGATGGGAGTTGGGGAGGAGGTTGGGGGGTTCACAGCAGACTCATGTCAAATGCGGAGGTAACAGGCTCCACGGGGAGGGGGCTCCTCTCAGGAGGGGCGAGGGCATTATTGCATTTGCTGGGGGGAGGGACAACCCTCTCCCCTATATTCCCTGCGTCAGGAAACTAGGAAGGTCATGACCCCCGAGCAGAACCCAAGGCCCCAGGGAGACGGAGGGACCAGTTTGGCAGCTGATGGTGGAAAGTGGTGGAGGCGGGGGTGGCCGCCCAATTTGGCCGATCCCTCCCTTCCCCGTGCCTGACCCGGCTGAGGTAGGTGGGGAACAGGGCACAGGGGGGCCGGGGACCCCGGACAGATTGGGAACCGGGGAGGGGATGGTACCGATTGGAGCGGGGCAGGGGGCCCGGCCCCACCTCCCCTCCCCATCATCCTTGGGCTGCTGAGCTAGGCTCAGGCTGGAGGCTTGAGTCCTGATGTCAGTGTCCCTGCTGGGGGCCCCCACCAGGTTGGGCCCGGGTCATCATCGCAGGGTCCGGGGGGAGTCCTAGTAGCGGCCGACCTTGGCGTCCCCGATGGCGCCCCAGACGTCAAAGACGAATTCGTCAGGGAAGGCAAAGTCACCCAGCCGTTCGTCCAGGGCCTCGGCCAGCTCATCCGGGTTCCTTTTGTCCTTTCCCAGCTCCACCATGGTGGCCGCTATTGGCGGAGGGGGCAGAATGGAGGCACAAATGACACCAGGGACCAAGGGACTCAGGGTGGATTCAGCCAGCACCAGACCTAGATGCCGCCCCCCACGCCCCCGCAGGCAGCCCTCACTTACCCAACTCCGTGTCCCTGATACCCATGTAACTCTCCAGCAGGTCATCCACCTTCTCAATGGCCTTCTCTTCAAAGGCGGAGGGCTGGGGGCCAGGAGGGGTGACAGCGACATCATAGCAATGTGAATATACATTGTAATTGGACTGACCGCCCTTGTCACCACTTTACATATATTCCTATTTAGACCTCAGGACAACCCTGAGAAGAAGGTATTGGTGTTCATCTCATCCCCATTTTACTGATGGGCAAACTGAGGCCCGCGTGCCCAAGGAAGGTCCCTGGGAGCTGGGAAGTGGCAGAAGTGGACTAGAATCCAGGCTGTCTGCCCAGAGTCCCCTCAGCTAACAGATAATGCTGCCTACTATGAAAAGGAAGTGAGGGCTGGGGGTGGTGGCTCACGCCTATAATCCCAGCACTTTGGGAGGCCAAGGAGGCTGGATCACCTGAGGCCAGGAGTTCGAGACCAGCCTGGCCAACATGGTGAAACCCCGTCTCTACTAAAAATACAAAAATCAGCCGGGCATGGTGGCGGGCGCCTGTAGTCCCAGCTACTTGGGAGGCTGAGGCAGGAGAATTGCTTGAACCTGTGAGGCTGAGGTTGCAGTGAGCCGAGATCGAGCTACTATACTCCAGCCTGGGTGACAACAGTGAGACTCTGTCTCAAAAAAAAGAAAGGGAAGGAATGCTGGAGATAGGGTCCAGCTGGAGCACTCACCAGATCCTCCACCGTGGCAGGGCCCCGGGATCGGAGCCGCAGGGTCCCTCGGCCAGTGCCCAGTTGTGGGCCAGAGCCAGGGCGGCCACCCGCTGAGCGTTGGCTGATCATGTCTGTGGGAGGTAGGAGAGGGGTGCGTGTGGGGGAAGCTCGGTTTTAGCACGCTCTGGGCAGGAACTTGGCCCTCCTGGCTTTCGACACCACCCCAAACTTCTCCAAGCTTCTGCAAGTTCCTGGGGGCTGGGGCCAGGGCAGGAATCCTGACTCAGGCCTGGCATGAATGTGGGGCAGAGCAGGGGGGACAGCTGGGGGCCAGGAATAGGAAATGCTAGAGGGGAGACTGGAGGGGCCACTTCTGCTCCCAGGGGCTGGGACAGGAAGCGGGTGTACCCCAGCCTGAGTCTCCAGCTGCCTGAGTCCGTCTCCTCTTGGCCAAGGGGGTATGGCTCCCGGGCCACAGACCAGCCCTACCTGCCCGGGGAAGTGATTCAGTCCCCCACCCCCATCTCAGGGGCCTGGGGCCCATTCCTTAGAGTTAGTGAAGCCAGATGGAAAAGTGGGGGGGCTGGTACTGAGCGGCCAAGTCTGACCTGTTAGGGGTGGGGGCTGGCCAGGGGTGAGGATACCTTCCTCCTTGCCCCCGCCCTTCTTTCCGGTTGGGCCAAGGACCAGCACCTCGTCTCGGGACCGGGAGAAGCTGCACCCACTTCCCTTTCGGCTGCCCAGGCTCGGGCGCCACCTGCTGGCCGCTCCCGGCACCACCGCCTGCGCCCGTGTGAGCAGCGCCACTGGGGAGGTGCAGGGGGCGGCTCCTCACCGAAGGCCTTGCGAGGCTCCGTGAGCTTCAGCGTGAAGGTACGGCCTCGGGGCAGCTCCTTGAGCAGCCGGGCCACCTCGTAGTGCCGGCAGCCCAGCAGGCTCTGCCCGTTAATGGCCTCGATCATGTCGCCCACGCTGATGAGGTGGATGTGGTCGATCACGCTGCCCTCCTTGATGCGCTGCGGGGATGGCGAGTCATCAGCCCTTGGGGCTCTGCCTTGGTTTCCAGGGTCCCGTGGCCCACCCTCACTCCCAGGCCTCCGAGGTGCCCCGTCTCCTCAGGCACCTTGATGAAGGCGTAGCCAGCCCCGTTGTCCGTGATGGTGAGCCCGAGTGCATCCTCCGACTTGAACACCTCCACCTCCTTGCGCTGCCCCTTCACGTGGGCGAAGATGAAGTCCTCCAGCCCGATCTGACCCCCCAGGAGCTTGTCCATGTCCACTTTGTGGGTGTTCAGGGTGCAGAACATCACCTGCAGGGGTGGGAGACGCTGAACCCTCTCCCCCCTCCCTCCCCCTTTGCTAATCACCACTGGAGGGCGAACGGAGAGAGCTGGGAGAGGACTAGGAGCATTCCATCCCAGTGCCCGATCACCCACTGAGCCAGGGCCAGGGCAGGGCCCGCATTAGCGTGTCAGCTCTGCTAGGACTAGGATTTAATTTTCCTTTATTTTTTTAAATTTATTTTTATTTTTTTTTGAGACGGAGTCTCGCTCTGCCGCCCAGGCTGGAGTGCAGTGGCCGGATCTCAGTTCACTGCAAGCTCCGCCTCCTGGGTTTACGCCATTCTCCTGCCTCAGCCTCCCGAGTAGCTGGGACTACAGGCATCCGCGACGTCGCCCCGCTAGTTTTTTGTATTTTTAGTAGAGACGGGGTTGCACCGTGTTAGCCAGGATGGTCTCGATCTGCTGACCTCGTGATCCGCCTGTCTCGGCCTCCCAAAGTGCTGGGATTACAGGCTTGAGCCACCGTGCCCGGCCTCCTTTTATTTATTTTCAGACAGGGTCTTGCTCTGTCACCCAGGCTGGAGCGCAGTGGTGCAATCATAGTCACTGCAGCCTCAATCTCCCAGATTCCGGCAATCTTCCCACCTCAGCCTCCCAAGTAGCTGGAACTACAACTAGCCATGCCTGGCTAATTTTTGTATTTTTTGTGGAGATATGGGGTCTCACTATGTTGCACAGGCTGGTCTCCAATTCCTGGGCTCAAGTGATCCTCCTATCTCAGTCTCCCGAGTAGCTGGGACCACAGGCACACGCCACCACACCCACATAGTTAAAATATTTTTTTTTAGAGATGAGAGCCTCATTATGTTGCCCAGGCTGGCCTGGAACTCCTGAGTTCCAGTGATCCTCCCTACCTCAACCTCCCAAGTAGCTGGGACTATAGGTGTGCACCACTGTACCCAGCTAGGATTTCTGTCCTAGCAAAAATTCATTGCTGTGCCGGGCGCGGTGGCTCACACCTGTAATCCCAACACTTTGGGAGGCCAAGGCAGGTAGATCACGAGGTCAGGAGATCAAGACCAGCCTGACCAACATGGTGAAATCCTGTCTCTACTAAAAATACAAAAATTAGCTGGGCATGGTGACAGGCACCTGCAATCCCAACTACTTGGGAGGCTGAGGCAGGAGAATGGTTTGAATCCAGGAGGTGGAGGTTGCAGTGAGCCAAGATTACACGATTGCACTCCAGCCTGGTGACAGAGCAAAACTCCATCTCAAAAAAAAAAAAAAAAAAAAAAAATTCATTGCTGCTTTCAGGGAATGGAGCCTGGCACACAGTGAGTGCTCAGGAAATACTTGTGGAGGACACAGAAACTCACCCCACTTATGGAGACCCCTGCATCTACTTGTTCAAACCCACTATTGCCATCCTTGCCCCCCTCCCATCCATCCCCACAGTGCTTGGTGCCAGGCAAGCCAGCCTCCCACAGTGTTGGGATTCTCCAAGGAATCATGGAGAAGTGCATCTTGTATCTGGCCTCCAGCCTCCACCATCTCCTGGGGCACTGGCCTCCCAATGCCTGATGGGAACTCAGCATCCAGGTTTGGCCTCCAGTTCTCCATACTTCACTGGGGCACAGGCCTCCTAATGCCTGATGGGAACTCAGCGTCCAGCCCTGGCTGTCAGTCTTGCACAATAGACTGGGATGCAGGCCTCTCAATCCATCCATCCAATCAATACATCCAGCCCCGGCCTCCCACAGTCCATTGAAGCTCAGGTATCCCAGTGCCTGCTGGGAACTCAGCATCCAGCCCTGGCCATCAGTCTTGCATAATCTACTGGGGGTACAGCCCTCCCAGTGCCTGATGGGATGTCAGCATGCAGCCCTGGTCATCAGCTCCCACAAT